TTTGATATTATTGCCATTGCCACTATCATAATTTCATATATTTTTATTATCCTTCTTATCATTTACTGTTAACGTTGTTATTGTTGTTCTGTTGTTTTGCTATTATAATGATTACTTTTATCATCTTTATCATTATTATTACTATTACTATCATTATCATTGTCATATTGTTATCATTAGCATTGCCATTATCATTATCATTATTATTGTTATAATTATTATTATGTTATTATTATCATTATCATTATTATTGTTATTATTATTATTGTTATTATTATTATTATTATTATCATTATTATCATTATCATTATTATTATTACTTTTGTTATTATTATTGTTATTATCATCATTATTATCATTATTATTATTATCATTATTATTATTATTATTATTATTATATTATTATTATTATTATTATTATCATCATTTTTATATATTATATTATTATTATTATTATCATTATTATTATCATTATTATTATTATTGTTATTATTATTATTAATTACTATCATTAACATTATCGTTAACGTTATTATCATTATTATTTCCTTATTTTCGTTACCATTATTACTATTACTATTTTTATTACTACTATCATCATTATCATTATCATCAGCATTATTATCAGTATTATCATAATTATTAATATTTGTCATTGTTATTGTTGCTGTTGATGATGTTATTTCATTATCATCTCTATATTTACTATTATTTTTGTTATTGTTATTATCATTTATGTCATTATCATTATTATCATCACATTATCAATATTATTATAAATATTATTATTGTTATTGTTATCATCATCATTATCACTATTATCATAACTAGTATCAATACTAGCATTACTATTTTTATCATTATTATTATTGTTGCTGCTATTGATATTGTTCCAATTATCATTGTTATTATTATTATCATTATGATTATTATTATCTTCATCATTATTATTATCATCAATAATATCATTAGTATTAACATCACTTTTATTGCTGTTATTTCATTATTATTATTGTTATTGTCGTTATTGTTATTATCATTATCATTATTACTATTGTTATTATTATTATCATTATTATCATTATTATTATTATCATTATCATTATTTTTATCAATATCATTATTATTATTATTATTTTTTAATTTTATTATTATTATTATCATTATTATTATTATTATTATTATTATTATTATTATCATTATTATGATTTCATTATTGTTATCATCATTATTATCATTATCATTATCATCATTAACACAGTCATTACAATTATTATCATTGTTATCATAATAATAATTATCATTATCATCATTACTGTCATTATCATTTCATTATCATTATCATCATCATTATCACTATTATCTTATCATAATCATTATCATTACCATTATCATTTTATTATCATTATCATCATCATTATCACTACCATTATCATTATCATAATCATTATCATTATCATTATCATTATCATTATCATTATCATTATCATTACTATCATTATTTGTACTATTTTAATTATTGTTCATAATATCATCATTATCATCATTACCGTGATGATTATCATTATCATCATTACCGTGATGATTATCATTATCGTGATGATTATCATCACTACTCTATCATCTTCCCTCTCTCTCTCTCTTCTCTCCTCTCTTCTCTCTCCTCTCTCTCTCTCTCTCTCTCTCTCTCTCTCTCTCTCTCTCTCTCTCTCCCTCTCTCTCTCTCTCTCTCTCTCTCTCCCTCCCTCCCTCTCCTCCCTCCCTCTCTCTCTCTCTCTCTCTCTCTTTCCTCCCTCCCTCTCTCTCTCTCTCTTTCTCCCTCCCTCTCTCTATATATTTCTCACAAATAAGCTTGTAGAAGGTTTTAGCAACCACAGACATGTGATGTCTCACAAAAGAAATAAAACACTGTTTGGTTGAAACGTGCGGTGACTGACATAAAAAAAAAACAAAAATGGTGTTCTGATGACTGTGATTTACAAACAATAACTTTATTACTCTCTGGTTTGTCGTTTCTACATATTAGTTATTACGTCTTCTTGTGATCTCTCGTCGTTTTTTTTACCTTCGTCTTTTACTCTGTTTTGATTGAATCTTCATTATTATTATTATTATTATTATTATTATTATTATTACTATCATATATATATTTTTTCATTTCTCTTTATAGTTTGTCTTCCCTTTTTCTCAGTTTTGTTTTCTTCTTCTTTTCCTTCTCTTTCTATTCTTTCTAGTTCTCCTCCTCCTTTTAATTCTTCTAATTATCAATCTTTTTCTTCCCCTTCTCTTCTTGCTCCTCCTCCTCCTCCTCCATCTTCTCCTTCTTCTCAATTCTCCCCTTCTCCTCCTCATCCTTCTTTTTATCCTTCTCTTCCTCCTCATCCTTTTCCTGCTCCTCCTCCTATCCCTTCTCCTTCTTGTTTGTTTGTTTTTTCTTTTTCTCCTAGTTCTTCTTTTTCCTTGTCTTTTTTTCTTCCTTTTCTTTTTCTTCTTGTTCTAT